GGGGTGTTGTGGCAGGTGCTGTAGTCCCAGCTACTCAGGAGGCTGAGGCAGGAGAATCACCTAAGCCCAGGAGTTGGAGGTTGCTGTGAGCTGTGTGACGCCACGGCACTCTACCAAGGGTGACAAAGTAAGGCTCTGTCTCTTAAAAAGAAAAAAAAAAAAAAGAAAAGTGTACTAGGCGAAGAATGTTCACTTTGGACACAGAAGTGGCAAAAGACAAGAGGACTGTCCCCACGTGACTGACATCTGGGCAGCTCTGTCCTGTCCTGTATATAAAGACTTGCAGGCTGCGAAGAAAGTTTCAGAGCGTCAAGACTTTTGTCTCATTTTTTCAAAGACCGCAGTTTTAGATGGAATATTAATGTATAAAGGGGAAGGTGAAAGAAAGGCTCTGAGTTAGAGAAGTGTGGAGCACCGAGTGGGTGCGCCCCACGGGGAGTGTGCGGCTGCCCTCTCTCCTGCACCCCGTGGTGGGTCCTAGTTGTAAAGGGAGACTGCAGAGGTGCAGTCTTTGCGAAGCTGCGTTGCAGTATGGAGAAGCCAAACAAGCAGGCATCTGGCTATAACTTGAATCACTGGTCATACAGTTCCCTCTTAAGCCCCACCAGTGCTGTCTTGGGCGACTGTGGCTCCAGCCCGGTGTCTCCTCGGGGCACTGTCTCACGTGGGTGGCAGGCTAGGGTAGGCGCGCCATCTGTTATTTTGCCCTCTTTCCAGTCTCCTTGCCCATAGAAACAGGTTCAGTTGAAGTGACTGGCTGAGGTCCAGAGAGTGGGGGAGCCATGCGACTTTATCTGGGCTGCGTACATATCTGCTGTCTTTAGCATCTGTAGTAACTTAGTCGTGTTTTCCTGATGCCCCATTTTATAGTCATTGTCTTTACCCATGTGACTCTCAGGAAGCAGATGGATTTATTTACAAATTTTGGCTTTACCTTGTTAAAGGATTTAGTTTATAATTCTCATTAACTTATCCCAGAAAAGCATTTGTAAATTAAAACTCTAAATACCCATGGTGAAATGGTTTCTTTGATTAAAGTATGTGCTAAAGATTTTTTAAAATTATTATTAGATCATAACTGTGTATATTACTGCATTTATGGGGTACAATGTGCTGGGTAATCGGTGGGACCTCACCTATTGTGCTAAAGATTTTTAAAACCCACAGGCTTCAAGGTTTAGTTCCTCATCTCAACAGATGGAATTACACAAACATAACAAAGTTAACATCATGGTTGTTTGCATTATTAATCTTCAAATGCGTGGCATTCTGCTACCTTGCTAGCCAGGTTTGCACGAATCCTTTCATTGCAACATATGTCAACAGAAATGTGCTTCCATCTGCTGCCGGGTAGCTTGATGCCTGATATTCCGAGACAAGGCCCAGCACAATGTGTACCTCTGTGAGTAATTACAGGTGTGTGGTGAGGAGCCCAGGGCATTAATCAGAGGCTTAATTATGAAAAGGTGGATCTTTTGTTCCACTCCTGGAGCATGGGTTCACCACACACTTTCCAAACTGCAGCATCCATCTGCTCAGCCCCTTAGAATGTTTGCGTTGGCTGAGACGGACCCTGCAGTGTGTCAAAGGACGCGATTAAAGTGGGCTTAAACATTAACCTAGAAGAAGCGCCATTCAGGTTTTTCTTTCCGTTCTTCCTTCCGTCTACTTATCTATGTCTCTATCCATATATGTATTTTTGGTATCAGGAAAAGTCTGTTGAAATGCTAAAACTTTAAATTAGTACTTCCTAAACTATTTACCATATGTGAGCTAATAGATTAAGCATTACATAGTAAGTTTAAAGAACATATAAATAGTGAAATTTGTAGAAACTAAATATGTTCACTGTGTATGGAAAAAAAGTTTTGTGATCATATATAGATTCTCTTCTAAGGAGATAAATTGTGAAATGAGGTTATTTTTATAATGAAGAACTCAGCTTATTATTAAATTTAACATATTAGAGTTGAGCAAGTTAAATTACTACTTTGGTTTCATTTAATCAAATTTAATCAGGATTACTTTAAAGGATTTTTCAGATAGCCACATGGAAATCTAAGAAAGGAAACTCAGATTTTTTTTTTTTTGTATGTTGCTTACTACTCACATACTGAGACTCACCGCAGGTTGTATAACCACGAGCCACTCAACTATGGTTCAGTTATGTGCTGCCTCGTGATTTCAGCCAGTGGGGACCACATATACAATGATGGTTTCATACGACAAGAACTCCATGTTTTTACTGTGCCTTTCCTGTGTCTAGACATGTTTAAACATACAAATTGTGTGTTACAGTTGCCTACAGTGTCCTGTATAATAACCTTCTGTACAGGTTTGTGGCCCAGGCACAGGAGGCTACCCTGTATAGCCTAGGTGTGTAGTAGGCAGTGTAAACACACCATGTGACATTCGCAAGATGACAGAATCACCTCATGATGTATTTCTCAGAACATATCCTTGTCATTAAGTGACACATGACTACCTCACTGTGCTTGGTTAACGTGCATGGCCCAAAACTACAGCAGTGTTTGTGGTCTTCTTGGTAACCCCCTTGTACATACATACACTTGCACACATGGTTTTGGCCTGGCCGTTGATGTCATGCCTGCTGTCCAGTGGTGGACCCCTGATCTGCCATGGGCACGAAGAGGGCTGCTTCCCAACAGAGCTGAGGAGCCACCCAACTGCTAGTGAGAGGCTGCTGAGCTGCAGGAGCACAGGTCTCTGGGCAGGCCTCACACCATGCAGGGGCTGCCGCTGCACTTGGCATGTGTCCTGGAACTCACACTGCTCAGAGTCACTGGCTCTATGGCCTTAGCATATCCTTAGTTACAGCATCACCATTAGTTACATTACCATTAGTTACACTGTCACCATTAGTTACAACATTACCGTTAGTTACAGCATCACCATTAGTTACATTACCATTAGTTAC